AGTATCCCACATGGAGCCATTCCCAGTATCCCATGAGGCCATTCCCACTATCCCATGGAACCATTCCCAGTATCCCACATGGAGCCATTCCCAGTATCCCATGAGGCCATTCCCACTATCCCATGGAACCATTCCCAGTATCCCACAGGGCCATTCCCAGTATCCCATGGCCCCCTCCCCACGGAGACATTCCCAGTATCCCATGGGATCTACATGAAACCATTCCCAGTATCCCACACGGAGCCATTCCCAGTATCCCGTGGGATCCACATGGAGCATTTTCCCATCATCCCACGGGACAATTCCCATCATCCCACACGTCTCCATTCCCATCATCCCACGGGACCATTCCCAGTATATTCCCAGTATCCCGTGGGATCCACATGGAGCATTTTCCCATCATCCCACGGCTCCATTCCCATCATCCCATGGCTCCATTCCCAGTATATTCCCAGTATCCCGTGGGATCCACATGGAGCCATTCCCAGTATCCCATGGCTCCATTCCCATCATCCCACGGGACAATTCCCATCATCCCTCACGTCTCCGTTCCCATCATCCCATGGGACCATTCCCAGTATATTCCCAGTATCCCATGGGATCCACATGGAGCCATTCCCAGTATCCCACATGGAGCCATTCCCACTATCCCATGGAGCCATTCCCATCATCCCACGGGACAATTCCCATCATCCCCCATGGCTCCATTCCCATCATCCCACAGGACCATTCCCATATATTCCCAGTATCCCATGGGATCCACACGGAGCCATTCCCAGTATCCCTCACATCTCCATTCCCAGTATCCCATGGCTCCATTCCCAGTATCCCACGTCTCCATTCCCATCATCCCACGTCTCCATTCCCATCATCCCATGGGACCATTCCCAGTATCCCTCCCGTCTCCATTCCCATCATCCCCCGGCTCCGTTCCCACCATCCCTCCCCGCCTCCCTCCCCCCCGTCCCAGGCCCGTTCCCGCGGGAATTCTCGGTGGTGTCGGTGCTCCGGGCGCCGCCCGGGAGCCGCCCCTTCCTGCTCTCCCTCTACGACGGCGACGGGATCCTCCGGCTGGGCCTGGAGCTGGGATCCGACCCGCAATTCCTCTACCGGGAGCGGCGCCGCCGCCTCTTCCCGCAGGATGAGCCCGTTTTCCGCGGAGTCGACTTGGCCGACGGAAGGTGGGAGCCGGGAATGGGGGCGGGAGGGGCCTGGAGCCGTTGGGAAACTCGACTGGATCATCTTCCCGGTGGTCTTGGATCCGTTGGGAAACTCAGCGGGGTCATCCCGATGATCCCAAATCCATTGGGAAGCTCAATGGGGTCATCCCGATGATCCCGGATCCGTTGGAAAACCCAACTGGATCATCTTCCCGACGATCCCAAACCCCTTGGCCAACCCAACTGGATC